ATTAGAACACAATTGCTGACGTTTCGGCGGTTTCGCCTTCTTCAGAGCCTGGAAAGGTCAAATTGAGATGTGATCTACTCAGCCAAACACTTTCACAACCCTAGCAGATAAAACTTGACAATTCGATTTGCATTCGCATTATGCGTATTATGCGTATGCGAATGCAAATCGAATTGTCAAGTTTTATCTGCTAGGGTTGTGAAAGTGTTTGGCTGAGTAGATCACATCTCAATTTGACCTTTCCAGGCTCTGAAGAAGGCGAAACCGCCGAAACGTCAGCAATTGTGTTCTAATAAATTCTATATTAACAACCTCGTGTCTGCTTATTGATGAAAAACATTGAATTATCATTATGATGGTTTATTTCTTCATTCAAGCAACGTATCTACGGTGTGGTATGGTCCGGTCTGAAAATCAAATCTTTCTGATTTACGGTCATCTGTCTAGAGATACCCTACCCTGCCTGTGGAAGAGAACCGGTCGTTTCGACGTCCAATTTGACGAAATGCACGTAGGCCGTCGTCCATGACTACGTGACTTTTCACACATTACGCTAGACTATACGCCCAACGTCTCTATTTATAAAGGTGATGTGTGTGAAACTAATGTGACCAAGACCTCTTGGAATCCGATTTCAAACATTCACATCTGAAAATTTTCTGTAGAATCTGCTTATAAGGTTAAGATTTCTAGGATTAACATAAAATTTCTGAAGAGATTCCCATCAATGTGACTTTTTTCGTGGGCATTTTTCACTGATAAAGAATTCTGTTTCATTACTCCACATCAACTGAGATGATTGTGACGATGATAGGTTTTTTGTTAACTGCCGGCAATTTCCTGAATACTTGATAGGCATTTAAAAGTGTACTTTGCCCTACAGCTTTAGGGACATATATAAGAATTTTCGGATACTGACAAGTTATTTATTTGCCTGCCAAAGCCCACTGTGAGCTGAGATACTTTTTTTCTTAAGTTGAAAGCTTTTTATTCTTAACCACGTATGAGTCATAATTGACACATGTGTGTCATATGTTTCCCTGAATCTTAAATCGTTTCTACAAAATTAGTGTTTAGTGTGTGTGTTCTGTACATGGTTAGGGTGATGGTGTTCATTAAGATTCTGTCTTCTAAGCTAATTTATTTGGGCGAGTAACCGTGGCAGTGCTGCCACCTGTCACGGATACTATACTGTGTCGACCGCGTTTCGAGTTCACCAAGTCCTTCAGCCGTCTGGAGTCGGAAAATTTGTACCAGACTTGCCTGCACCCAACTCATTCAGTCTGGTCTACGTGAGAACGCCTCAGCTCGGCTCTCTACCGATTTTACGCAAGACCAACTTGACCAGCATTCATTGGCATTCATGAAAAAGACGACAATCCTCAACGAGCAGCCGAACTCACACACGAAAAGTTCGAATACTTATGTGGGCGATTGATGCGAGAAAAGGTATCGAATGCAGGAAGTCCTGGGATTCACACAGCAGGTGTAAAGACATCGTATAAAGGTAGAAAGAAAAATGACGATAACATTGCTTTGTTCACAAAGTTTTCTTGAGAATTCATAAAATTGCCACAAACATCTTTCCATATTAGACCGATAGTCTTCACGCTCTAGTGAAGAGTGGTTTCAAAATTGGTGCAAAAAACTCGACATTTCTTTAAAAAAAAAAAGGAAATGGCGAGAAAATGTTGTGACGGCGTGATTTTCTGCTACGATGAATATAACCCTCGATCATCACTCTGTATACACCGATTTTTAGCTTGCGACCGATGCTCGAATCAAGCGAACCCGGAACGTCGATCCTCATGGAGACATTGTCTTTGTATCGAGAGATTCGACATCCATTGTTTCAAAACGACTCTGTCTCTTGTTTGACTTCTACTCTGGAACAACTAATATCAGAAGACCACGTGCTAGCCACTATGCCCATGGCAATATGGGTTGCTTTAGTGAGTTTACACATTGATTATTGATTAGTCGCACCTTTTGTTTTGCTCTTAAATATGTTCTTTTTCCACAGGGTACTAAAAATAAAGCGAAGTTTTAAAAATTGAAAGTGAAAAGGGAATAAATAAGACCTCCTACCTTTTATCTGAGTTTCTAGTTTTAAGATTTCCAGATTATCTACGGTACATTGAGCACAAACACGGTGCTTTCATTATTGAGCCTTCGTCGGTCCTATGAGGAGCTAACAACAAAACGACATTCTCACCTCGACGTTCTCGACATATTCAGAGTGATGGCGATTCTATGGGTGATCACCAACCACACTGGTAGCGAAGGACGAGTCGACGTTCTGGATCGACTTCCATCCGCTGATCAATTTAAGGTGAGCAATTTCAGACTAGTTTACTTTAAAACTATTGCTAATCAGTATAAAAGGATTTTGTGCCTGAAATAGGTGAATGATGAAAAGTAGACTGTAAATAGTAAGCAAAACAATATATAGTCAAGATCTAATAAAAACCAATTATTAGTGTCCAAAGATCTGCAGAAAGGCCAGTGTTTCTAATGAAAATGAAAATAATTATCTTACTACCTAAAAGTGAATACAACTTTGCAATGAGAAGGGCAATTATCACAGAAAGAAAAAGTTGCTTTGTTCCTGAACGGTGCAACTCGTCCGTGCAAACGGGCACTATTAGAGTTATAAAAATATCGTATTACTGTTTCCGAAATCAGCATCGATCTTCCATCATCTAGAATTTGGACGAGAACACTTACATAAATCAGTATTAATCATAAGACTATGGTGAGCAAGAAAAGTGTGGAGACAGTAATTGCACAGCATAATATTGGTAACATTAATACTACTTATACTAGCAAAGACGGTAACTATGAGAACCTCCCAATGAACAAATGTGATTTGTAACCTTGTGGACCATCGAATAGCTCATACTGGAGCAAGTAGAGTTAACATTCGTCCTTCTCATATGCCAGAGCTGTTCATTGGGTTCCGCTCGTTTGAGGGATACGAGAATAGTAAATTTTTCCTGCAAAAGCTGTACTTTTAGTTTTCTCCTACAGTCTAGAGACGTCTATTTCACCAGGTTTTGCCATGTCATGTATACTCAATATACTCGAGAGTAGCTTATCGTTCCAAATTGAAGTTCGCACTGTAATTTTTTATTAGAGGTGATTCCGGATCACACTGTCCTCCCATGTTTGGAAGATATGAGTCAGTCCTGTACTGTAGAATTTGGGAACTCGTCGTGTGAAATCACTAGCATCTTAAATCCTCACTATCTGGATCGAAATCTCTCACATTTGAGAGATTCATAACATAATAATATTATCGTTATTATATTGCTTGGTTGTTATCAAAGTGATTATTGATAGAAATAAATAGACAGTCATATATGATAACATCGTTTGTAGGCAGCTGTGCATAATAATCCGGTATTTGGCGCATTGCTGGGGAACTCGGCTCTTGGTGTGGAGATTTTCCTGGTGCTTTCTGGACTTCTTGGTGCCAGGACATGGTTGAGAAAAGCAGACCAGCCGTTTTTCGCTCACTACCAAGCGTTTATTATACGCCGAGTTCTACGCCTTGTGCCGTCGGTTGTGTTCTTCATCTACATTGTGACGGGTCCACTCACGAAGTTCTTCTTACCAAGGTGGATAGCGATATAAAAATTTGAAAATGATTGTTGCTTATCTTTTACGCTCATTGCGATAAGGGATGATTCTGAGCGGTCATACTAGCAGTCCCATCCAATGTTCCCATTAGTGGCAGGTGTTTCTGAATGATTATAAGTAAATGACTTTAATCAAACGAGGAAGAGGTGGTTCATGTGACGAAAAAAAAAGTTTAACATGAATAAAATGCGGCCATGTGCTTCCTTGAGATGTAAGTGGCTTCTATGAGTGAGCTCCCTGTCTCCACCGCTCTTTCATCCCACTTTGTTTGACAAGTATTCAAGTTACGCATATTTAAAATGAACACACTCTTCCCATAGGCCACAAGTTAGTGGCATGGCCAACCTTAATGGCCGAACATGGACAGACCTACAGTGACCCTCGCTATAGAAATAGTAGAACTAAAAGACACCGCGATAAATACGATTCTACTTATATCGCTCATGCTAGTAGGGCTCAGTGGGCTGGAGCTGTATTAAAAGTGTAATAAGAATGAGTGTGGAATTTACTGGTTCCCGCTTAACAGATCATTAAAGAGATTATTTGTGATATCTGTTAATGTATTGTTGCAGCTACCATCCTCTAGTTAGTAATGCAGCTTTCGTGTACCATTTGATTTATAGTTAGCTCGTTGATGCTACAGGTTAGTAGGAAAGCTATGAGACCATGAATTAACCTTTATCCTTTGAAGATTCTACTTATCAATGATCTCGTCGTGTGGCGTTTCTGGTATTACCGCTCACCTCACGTTTCTTGGTAACTGGCAATCCACTCCCACATGTCTTGGATATTTATGGTATCTTGGATTGGACATGCAACTATACATTGCTGCTCCTTTCCTCCTACACATTCTCTATAAACGACCGCTGATGGGAAAAATTACATGCACAGTGTTGATTCTGATCTCGATGCTCCTACGTGGTGTGTACTGCACTTTATATGACGTTTGCCATAAGAGTGACGTCGACATTCCAGTGAGTTCTTCCTATCTCCTTTGCTTAGAGTTTCTAAAATCTTAGCACTCGCAAATAAACTCCCTACTAAATTCAGCAGCTACAAACGAAAGTCGTGATGGGAACACTGAGCACAACTATGGTCTGAAAAATCCATACATATTGGTTTTCAACGTTAATCCATCAATAAGTATAATTTTTACTCGGATGCGCGAATATCCAATCTTCATTTTAAGTGGGTATTCCAGGCCAACTTCCATTTTGTTGGGAACTGTGTCGATTAGATGTGATAGTATTCTTTCTGGGCGTCCCATCATAGGCAGGCGAGGGTCTTTCTAGGTCATCAAAATCAAATCAAAGAGACGTTTAGCGTCTTATATTGCAGTTAGGTTTCACTTTGAAATGAATTGTTTGCGAACTTCCGAGAACATGTTTACAGTGAGGCAGCAGACCATTAGGATGTTCTAAGCGATTTCTGTTAATGAAGTTTTTTTTGGTATGCGTGAGCCGCAGTAGTTAGAGATCCCATGCAAAACACTCATGACCCCTGTTTGACGTCGCTCGCCCCGTGCAAAACATAAAGTCTAAGAGTGTGTGAATTCTCTCAACATCATAATGTCTTAATGTTTTTGTATTGTGTATAGTTTTCAAGCAATATATTGCACTCTACGGTTGAAATTGAGTTTGGCATTACACCTGTCTTTCAGCTTAAATAAATCCGATATTTAGTTCATTTCTTTCCCGGGACAAGATCAAGAGAAATCGGCCGTAATTTACGCCGGTGTTTGGGAGATGTACGCTCGTCCGTTCACCAAATGTGGTCCATTCATTCTTGGCCTACTACTCGGTACTGCGACAACCACTATGAGACCGAGTTTGAGCCGTGGTACATCTCGTATAATCACCAACACGTTCTTCACGCTCTGTCTTAGCGTGATATATGGTATTTTGCCGCAGTACTGGTACGGAAAATACTTTGAATGGTACAATCTCTTCTACACAGCGTCCTTCCGTACAATTTTTGGCATTGGAGTTTGTGGAATGATGTTGGCGATCATTTCACGACAAGAGAGGTATGGAAGTTTCTTTATTAAATATTGAAAAAAGTTCGTCTAAAACAAAACTAAACCAACAACACAGGTAAATGGAAAAGGGTTGTCAAAAAAAACTTAGCACGACCACTTTTAAGTAATCACAATCTTAACCGTTTTATTTACTGCCTACTCCTTTTTTTAACGGCAGGTATAATCCCACTGACGGGTAAATGCTGATGGCAGAGATCGATAGAACTAGCTGAGAGACAGGCGAAACGAAAGACCTGCATGGTGTAGTGGTGAACGTGTTACTCCCGGAAAGGACAATATCACTAGAGGATTTCAGGAATTCAGAATCTTATAGATTCTGGAAGAGACTTCCCTCGATCGCAGGGATCTATCGCACTACTTAAATAACTTTCATGTAGTGCTCTCTCAAATTTAAACATTTTTAGGGACCACATACTTTCAAAAAGTTGACAACGAAATCTAAGTTTTTAAAATTCCCACCGGAACAGTGCAGTTTCAAGTATGAATTATATGGCTATTGTTTCTGTGTTTTCGCTTTCTTTGCAGCTGCGTTGATCAGCGTAGATGGTCCATTTTATTAAAATGGCGCGTGTGGCGCAGTGGTTGGAGGCACCACTGCGACAAACACGTGGAATCGATCCACGCACCCATGGCTTACCAAGCCTTCCATCCCTCCGGGTTCGGCAGATTGGTGCCAGACTTGTCTGGGAGGATAGCGGCACTGGCTCGATACATCGGTAGGCCACCGCAAGTCATTGTAAAGGTCAGGTATGTGTTCAATCATAAAAACTCCAAGGATACTCAATGAAGAGTCGAATGCATAGCGTATCCCTCAGGGATGATCAATGCCCAGAGCTTTGTCCTTAGGTCTTTTATTGCACTTATAGCTATTATTGATGTTATTATTTTTATTGCTATTACTTTCCAGCAAATCCACGGCAATAATATGGTCGGTACTAGCTCGTCTTAGCTACAACACCTATTTACTTCATATGCCAGTCATCTATCTCTTCAATTACTCGGAATTTCTTCAGCAAGCCAGTGGAGCTACTGAATTGATACTTATCTTACCTTTTGTCGTCATCCTTAGTTTTAGTGCCTCATCGGTTTTTTATTTCTTCGTCGAAGCACCGCTAGGTCGCATCACTTCCGGATGGGTAGAAAAAAAGTGATGCCACAATTGCCAATTGCATCGAAAATCTCGGATATTTCTTACGATATCCTCTAGTCTGGTAGATATTTTGAAATCTTGTATTATAGAATATAGAAGAATCTCATGTAAGTACAACAGTTGTCATTATAGTCACTCTGTTTGTGCTGTTGAAGCGTTTGACCTGGTAAATTGTATATCAGTATACCCTTCCAGACTGAAGAAGGCGGTTCTGCCGGAACGTCAGCTACAGTTGTGTTGTATGTGTGTTATTGTATGGAAGTAAACGTATGCTGTTTAACGACCTCGCGATTACTGAGAAAGAAAACGACGAATTCTAGTCAGTTACCCAACAGTGATGTATCTACCTGAATTCATTTTATATGTAAATAAGATATATCGAATTACGGTTGTTGTTCACAAAACAATCATCTGTATCACCTGTAGTCCCGCTGATCGTCGAACGAATCGAGTGGGCGTCAGTAAATCTTCGATTTTTCACTGTCGCATGCAAGAGTAGCCCAGTAGGTTCTGCTCGCTCTAGAGACTCGTCGAGCATCATATCTTTCTCCTAGACTCTTCGTGAAGAACTCTGACCATCAGGTCGGTGGTCTTCCTGCAGAACGTTTGACATCCCAAGGAATCCAGTCACTAACGGCTCTTGTCCATCGGTTGGCATTCATACGTATCACATGTCCGGCCCACGTTATCTTCGACTGTTTGGCGTACAGAACGGCCTCTTTGATTTTTGATGGTTGACGCAGGTCGGAGCTTCAGATCCCATCCCTTACTTGTGTGAAACGGGATACTCCTCCTAGCATCCTCATTTCGACTGCGAGTTCCATAACGCTGAGTGATCATTCATCTTGTAATGCAGCGACCAGCTTTCTGACGCATACGTTAGGGCGGGAAGTGCCGTTGAGTGGAAAAGGTGGGCACGGAGTCGGGTGTTCCTTGTTCTCTTCACTACATCTTCGATGCTCTTGAAAACTCTCCAAGCCACTTCTTTCCTTCTGCTCAGCTCTGGAACTAAGTCGTTCGATATGCTGATTTCCCAAGCTAGACAGACATAACTGGAGCACTGGGATAAATTCGTTCCGTTGAGCGTGAATGGGGCATACGAAACCAATCCGTTCTTCATGAACATCGTTTTTGTGAGACTTAGTCGAAAAACAATCTTTCCACAGGCCTCATCAAAGTCGTGAAGCATACGTTCCGCTTGGCTAATGTCTGGTGTTATAAGGACGATGTCATCAGCAAGGCAAAGATGGTGCAACTGTCGACCGTCGATTTTCACTCCCATATTATCCCATTCCAATGTGCTCATGACGTTCTGGAGGGTAGCCGTAAATAATTTTGACGAGATAGTGTCGCCTTGTCTAACTCCTCTTTCGACGTCAATGTTAATATCGCTATAGAATGGTGATATCCTTTTTGCACAGCTCAGGAAGAATCTTTATGTACTGAGGAAGGACTCCTTGACTATCAAGGGCTTCCAAGAGTGCTACTATCTCACTTGAATTAAAGGTCTTCTGTAAACCGATGAAAGTGAGACAGAGCTGTCTTTTGCACTCTCGCGATACTTCAATGAGCCCTGTTACCGTGCAGATGTGGTCCACCGTAATAAATCCTCTTCGAAACCCTGCTTGCTCACATGGCTGTCCTTCGTCCATTGTTCTATCAATCCTGTTTAGTGAAAAGTTTGTAGACGACAGACGGCAAGCAGATTAGGCGATAGTTGCCGGTATCGCGAAGGTCACTCTTCTTGAACAACAACACGGTCTTGGTGGTCTTACTGAGTAGAGAGCTTGCATTCAGGCAGGTGACAAGTGAAGAGCCGAGCCAGTGTGTTTACGAGGTCTGGCGGAAGGTTCTTCAGGTGTTCTGGTCTTTTCCTGTCCGCACCTGGTGCTGTTCGGTCTTTCACCGACGAAATGGCATGTCGAATTTCGGAAGGGATCCTCCTTTATTTCGTATGACGGAAGGTGGACGTGGCTATCGAAGAGATCCGAGTAGTATTCGTGAATGATTTTCTCCATTGCCTTTCAGGACGCTGTAACTATTCCGTCTGGGCATCAGACTGCAATCACCTTGATCTGGTAATTGGCTAGGCTTCGGTGGGGTTTCCGAATGCTTTTCCCAGCCCCTGCAGCTTCGACCATTACTGCTACTCTTCTCTCTTTAAGATCTTCTTTTACCGCCTGTCTGCATTGTTTTGCAAGCTCGTATGTTAGTTTGCGGTTGCCTGCAGTTCGTACGATTCCGCGCCAGCGTATCAGCTTGAGTCTCTTGGTTACTTCCGAACTCTCAGCATTCATAGCGCTAACGTGAAGATGTTGAATGAACCGATCGTATTCTTCGTCGATGTTATCGACAACGGCATCTTCGCAACAACCGACTGAGGAATCGAATAAGTCCCAGTTTATAGTGGTTTTAGGGCTTGGGTTTCTGAAATTAGCGGCTTTTTCTCCTTTCTGCCAGAAATAGAATCTTGCACGAACGTGGCGATTTTCTGATCCCGTGTAGAATTTTGGGAAGACAGCGACATGGGTTAGGCAAAACCTATTCACTGTGATGTGGCCTATTGCGTTATGGTACTCTCCATTGCGGGACTCCCACGTCCAGCGTTGAGGGTGGAGCTTCTGGAATTGCGAGTTACCCTGGATTGTCTTTGTCGCCATGATAAACTCGGAGAGCCGCTCACCCTGTTCGTTCCGTTCTAATCCGTATGTCCCAATATGCCGTTCTCAAACGTTCTTTTTGGTCCAGTGTTGGAGTTAAAATCTCCAATTATGACCTTAAAGGATTTATGGTCTTTTCTGTAGAACTTCTCAAAGTCCCTATAGAACGCTTCGATTTCTTCTTCGCCATAGTTTGATGTCGACGCGTAAACGACGAGGGTTGTCAAAGCCAGTATTCATTCACATCTTTTGAACCGTAAACGCCAGATTCGGGTTCGGGTTGTTAGTTATTCGAATGAATCAATGCTCATGGACAAACTCGTGTTAACGACAACGCCGACGCCGCCGACTCCTCTACCATAGCATGTTCCGAGGAACAGTTCTTCTCCGGTGCCATAGGCGGCGTTGAATGGGTAGCGTCGTCTCTTCTCGGCCAGGCCGATGACGTCGTACCTTATCCTTCTTGCTTGCATGAACATCATTGTAGGTACAGATCGTCACCTTAGCTCTTTGCAATCCAGGCAGCTTCCATTGGCCCTGAGATTTTTCAGCCTCTCCGTACTCTTCCTAAGCTGCCGAATTGGGGGCTCATTCGGGGTCAGGGTAATGGGGCCCGTTTCTTTTACTGTCTTTAGCTTTTTGATAACCACGTTTACCTCGCTGAGTTCTGAACGTGGGAGCTGGGTATACTCACGGGTAGCTTGCCCGGCTCTCCCAGAGTGGACATGGAGCTTATTTGTTGGAGACGACTCCTAACCGCCTCCCATATACTTCTCTGTCACTTGATTGCAGGCTTTTGGCCGAATTGACTCGTACGATACAATCCACATAAACTAGAACGTACCCACACAAACGTGCATGAATACAAATACAGAAAGTATGTGCCAAATCCTCGCGGCAGAAACAGGGAGTCCATCCCCTGGATCCACCTGCGCCTCAGGGAAGCAAAGGTCGCTTTTGCTCCGCAATTAACCCCCTATCCGTCATCTGGAGACGCGCCACGTAGCCTTGCGACTAACCGGCTATCGGGATCGCTCACATGAGGAAAAATCCGCGGCAATACAAATATGCATTCACAAAAGGTCTCATACCTTCAGGAATTCAACTACCTCATTAGTTCGCTAAAAGGAGAACCCCTTCAAGCTATTAGGAAATTCCAGATCAGCAAGGAAAACTACCAAATAGCCATCGATTTTCTCACTAAGAACTATAGAAGCTCCGAGGAACTCATTCCTCAACTCATCGAAAAACCTTACAAAACTGGTCCTCGTTCATCCACCTTACATGAGAAACGGGCATTATTGGCGCATATATAAGCTATAATATTCCAACTAATCGAAAAGGGAGAAAATATAAACAACCAGTGCATGTACAAAAATTAATGTCGAAATTTCCTATCGACACTCAGCGTGAAGCACTTGCCAAGAAAATAACTGAGGAGCTCTTTGACGTGAATCTGCTAATACAATTCTTGGAAGAGATCACCACCAGTGAGGAATTCTTTTCTCGCTATACCTCAAATAGCCATTCAATTTCACTCACTACCACTAGTCTTGAGAGCAAACTAAACAATGGAAACCCTAACGTTCAGTGCTCTCCTGCATGTATTGCAAAGTCAACCATTAGCCGCTCCATTGCGACAAATATAAAACACCTCATGAAAGGTCCTAGTACCTTCAAAGGAATGAACTGTGCTAAATATGTGCATCCTTGTCCCACAATGCATTTTTTCATCGGCGAAAAACTCACTAAAGAACTTCGTCTGCTCACAATGGAGGAAGCTAAGTTACGTCTACAGACATTTGGTTCGGATGACATAGAAGAAAATATATCACAAAAACTTGCATTAGAAGTATGGGACGCAGATGGTCATCAGCTTTCACTCTTCCTGTTCACCTACCAAGCTATAACAAAGCCGTTGCAGACGCCACAGATCTGTCCAGAAGATGTAGACTTCATGCGAAAGCATAATCTTCAATCGATGTTAACAAAAAGAAATCCAAAGTCAAACCGTCTATCCTGTTGAGCTGTGACCAATTGCGGACTCTAATAAAAACCGATAAACCCCATATTGAACTGCCATCCGGACTACATCTTCTTCCAACACGCTTCGGACACGTGTTCACAAGAAAAATCAGAAATCCACCACAATCACAGCACAAGGAAAGCGTGAACTCGCTGCGCCTGCGGCAAAACGACGATGAAATGGATAAATGGGACGGTGTTAGACATTACAAGGACGAGTCAATACTGCCTTCATCCATCATCCCGAAGCAAATGATGACGAGACACTCAAGTGGGAAAGACACTGGACATTAGAATCCGCCGGGACAGAGATTTTCGAACTCCGAAGCAGAAGAAAAAAAGTTGATGGATCATAAGGTTTGGGAAAACCTCAACAATGCAACTGAAAGACGACCTGAAGGATATCATGTTCGTCTTCCTTGGAAAAATTTAGCAATATCACTGCCTGATAACAAGACAATCGCACTCAATAGACTCGTAAGTGTGTGGAAATCCTTACATGACAAAGGAGATTTGCTGGATATGTATAATGGCATATTCGAAGAACATCCTGGCTTAGATATTCTAGCGGAAATAATCGAAGAGAAGACACCACAAGCTTCTCGTCTTCACCAAGCTGTTTTTACAGATAATAAATACACTACTAAACTCAAAATAGGCTATGACGCATCAGCTCACTTCAAAGGTCATCAGCCCATCACTACACGATGTCTTGCATCGTGGAGCAATAATTCTCTCTGAACCATCTAGAGTACTCCTTCGGTTTAGAATCGGATAAATCGCGATTCAGAGGTCGAGAAAGCGTTCTTGTAAGACGAACTTCATCAAGATGACCGTGATGTCACACGCTGCTTTTGGTTATGTAACCATCACCAAATCATCACCCTTCCCCGGTAGCATTAAAATCCCTTGATTCATCCGAGTAACCTTCTAATTGATTACATCACCGTTTCCCCTGGCCGGAACAATTCACTTTCATCGTAACCAGTACAAGCAAGACACTGAACTGGTCAAAGAGCTCAAGGACAACTTATATGCCGACAACTTTATTCTAACAGTCGACGACTTGGAAGGGTCACTGCATATCCACTCATGTACAAAACAAATATTCAGTGACCTCGATATGAAACTCCGTGAATTTGTTTCGAATAACGCGAATTTGATGGCGAAAATAGCTATACAGGACAAATCAGACGAAAAACTACCAGAAGTGCTTGGAATTTCATGCAATACGCAGTCCGACTGTCTACAGCTCTCATGCATTCTAAAAACACATCCACGTGTAACAAAGAGAACAGTTGCTAGTGCGCTACCTTCTGTTTGTGATCCCATAGATTTCCTATCACCTTAACTCCATAGAGCAGAGGTATTTCAATGCACTCTATCGAAAGACAAGTACGACTGGTACAACGCTTCACCAGAATCCTTCAAAGCACAATGGACCAGTATATGCACAGAAATTCAAGGATTCTCGAAATCTCTACCACTTTACCTTGGCACAAAGAGTTCCAACTATACTTTAGCAACTTTTGCTGGCGCCAGTACCGAAGCTATTGTCACGTGTATTTATCTGCGCTCAGAAGACTCAACCAGTCTTCTCATGGCAAAAGGAACTTTGCCTTTGTTGAGGTCCTCCTCAAGAGTACCAAAAATGGAATCAGGTGCGGTTATCTTAGCACTATGATTAACCAGTGCCGTACTAATCCAATTTCGAAAGTCGCTAAAAGTTCAAGAAATTTCTATTTATTCCGACTCAAAGATCGTACTCAGTTGGTTACTACGCAAACCTCTGAAAAATTTCGAACTCAGAATATTCAACGGACTGATGGAAATAGAGAAAATTGTCGGATATATTCAAAGCGTCGGATCTCAAATTTTCTTTGGCCACGTCACATCAAAATATAACGTTGCGCACTGTGCAACCCAATAGTTGTTGGCTATGTTCCGTTGCAGCTGATGATGTCCATATAGTAGCACTTGGGCAATAAGGTAGTCTCTTTGATTTGTAGTACGCCATAGGTTCTACGGAAATCGATTGCGCATAATTCATATGCAACTCGACCAAATGAGTTCACTTCCATATATTCGCTTACTAAAACCATACAGTGTCTAGTATTTGATGATGTTGTCAATTGATGTCTGAATTGATGCCTATTGGTGCTCTTATGATAACAATAGCTAATCATCATTATTCCTTCTGAACTAACTGCATGTGGTATGTTCGATAACAAGTTTATGATAGGAATCAGTTCTGTACCTATAGAGACATGAGATCTAAGCCGAAGGATGCACAAACCACAGGTCGTTGTTTTTCATTCTTCGAATAAATATTGTTGCTACATTAAGATGACTAAAACACCAGAAGAAATGAACTAGTTGGAAGTAGAGCACCAAGAAAACAACAAAAAAGCAAATAACTCGCAATATAAAGAATAAATAGATGTTTAAATACTTCACTTTGAAGAAAATGCCATGTCATAAAGCAAAACAGTACTTCCTCTAAATTACCGTACGATATTATGAACTGCAGAATTAAGGAGATTTTTTGGTGACTATGTCACATAAAAGCACACAACAAGTACGAAACGATAAGAATAATATGAATACCAGTCTGTTGACGACTAAATAAATAGAAAATGCTCTATACATCTTGAAACAAATTGCTTAACTATCTAACTAGACTGAAAGCTAAGAACCCTCTTCATTCGTTTCTTTGGTTTAGGAAGTCAAGCCTTACGATTGTAACAACTGCGCGATATCTTAGTTTTGGCCTTGTGTTTTAGCAGTAACTGTCGTGTTTCCATAGTTTTTTCCATTCCGTCGTAGTGTTGCTGGCTCTAATTTGCAAACATCTTTACAGATATCGATTTGAAATACGGACTCGTTTTTCCATGATTCCACTATCTGAAACGGAACACTGCCGGAAACAAAAGAAATAACTACAAACTGTTACATCAAACATACTTCATCTGATAACTCGACTTTGATTCCTCCAGGTCCAGATACACAAAACCGTTCCACAACCGATGTGTCGATTATCCCTTTCTTCTCCAGAAATGTAACGAATTCTTCCTGAGACAATATTAAAGGCATTAATGAACATAAAAAACTTCTACAGAAGAACTGAAGGTTGTTTCATGACACTCACCTTGGTTCTGTTTTTCAGTAGCACCATTTGGAACATAGGCTCATCATCGAACTCTGATGGTGATTCACGGACAAAAACCTTGATGGCGGCGGAAGAAGTGGGTGATGATGATGACCTATTAGCTACAGTTCAGGCTCAAGAAATTATAATGAATACCACTAAACAAACGTTAAAGAACCTACCGAATTTTGAGGGAATGATAGATGCACAAAGCATCCGCCTCATTTCTACACAAACGCGTAAGTTCCTCTGTGTTTAACGACTTCATCACGTCCATAGAAAACCTTTAAAAAATGTTACCGCAGTCTGGAGTAGTTTTCGCTCACGATGTCACGTCATATAGCGTTTTCTATAGAACTCACTTTGCAAAAAGTGTTTTATACTTCCTCATTTCAATACTGTCAAGAAATTTCGAGACAGCAGAGTCATATTCGGTATCAGTGGAAGTTACGCATGATACTGATGATGCACTAAAAAATTCACAATGTTTTGAAGGATTTCACTATACTAAGATTTGATCAGTTGTATTCTTTCAACAACACATTACCTTTCGTCACCCTTCAAGAATTCGACCATCTTCCGTGTAGCCTCGAACAATTCCCAAAACTCCGTTGGATGTTGCAAAAACAACTCTTTTACGGATACCACATCCGTTGGTGGCTAAAAATAAGGCGACATCACTTTCTAACGTTAATGCGACAGTTACATACTGACAAACAAACCTCGCGATTTTTTAATTTTCGTAATCGCTTTCGCGGTGGTTCGGCGAGGTCTTCTTCGCGATCGCCAGCTATAGCCTTCTCCTCCGTTTGAACAATTAGCTGACTTAAATTTTGCATAGCAGATGTACCAGGAAGCACTGGACAAGGAAGTAACACGCACGTTCCAGGAGGAGATGATGTCTGGCTACAAGCAATGGAAATTTATCTCATAAAGATTGTAAATGCAGTTCCATAAAATCTCTATAGGAATTCGAATAGTTTGTGTCTGGTCGCAACAAACTATGAATGGTGGTTATAAGGTCATTTCTTTCTTCGTGCCTCACTTTCTACAAGTCTAACCGTATCTCAACTTATAAGCAGCAATCTCCAATGGAAGAAAACATATGAAATAACGGTTTTCCTAAGTAGTCAACTACTATTGCAATGGCGTTGTATTTTGTATGTCTTCACATCCAATTATTTTTTACCACTTAAACATTCTATAAGGTCATTATGATAGGAAGGCTATGACAAGGTCATAGTTAAAAATAAAACAGAACACAAGATAAAACTAACGCGTATTCTCCACATGGTGAAGTTCCGCTCTCCTCAGTTTTGTTGAACAGGAGCCACGGTGGCAACTCATCTGGATTCGGTGGCTCATGCGAATGCTGGTGAAGTCTTTTGATTATCTTAAACATAAATCGTAAGATATTCTAGTTTACATATTTTGAGCCTTTCCTATATGACACTTGTGAAGGCAGTTTTTTTCATGAGTCACCTGGGACGACTACCTATGTGAATAAGAAACTGAATAATCCAAATAAGAACCAATAAATTTTCAATTGAGCGGTGCTCCACTGAGGACCACTCAATGCGAAGACGAAGACAACGTATCGATAATACGAACGACTGTGGACGATCGACTCGGGTCATCGGCTTTAAGGAAAAATAAGACGTTGAAACGTTAGCCGAATAAACCTTGTTATCAACCTTTTGTCAGCTTAAAAATCCAGAATTAAATTCACTACTCGTCTCTATTATGTGCCACATCTCTTCAGATAGCATCGAACAACGGAGAGACAAATAATGTCATAACCCTCCCATAAAGCCTCTTAAATTCACCGCTCTTGGCGAAAAGATGTCCACTGGTACGACGCCGAGCTCTGCCGTGACAGTTGCATATTCCTAATGTGCCGTTGCTTACCTGATTTCCTGAATAGGTCTGAGAATAAATTCGAAACAAATCCTATTTACTTCTAAGGGCACTTGGTTGTATGACGTCAGCCGAACAGATGTGAGAAGTTCAATATGCATAAACACGTATAAGAAAAGTTTAAATCGGTCTAGTTCAGTAAAAATATAAAGTTCATTTCGCAAATTAGCGAGATCTCAGCACAAGACACACTGCTTTTGCACTTCCATATTGTTAGGAGCGAAGTCAACACTGATGCTTCCAAATGCAGCTGTATGCATAAAAACTGCTCCTTTATATCCTATATTTTCCTTTCAATTTTATATAACCGTAAAAATTTTTGTGGCTTGAAACTGTGACGCAGATCTCGGTCATAGGGCCATTGCGACAGTTTCTAGTTGCCAACTAACCTGATTAGTTAACGGATTAGTGTGTACTCGAGCCGGACATTCATTTTTGCGTTCACATCGCCAGAAGCTCCGCTGTCCACATGATGAGTCTTTGTCGTATGTAAATATGTAGCCATTATCGTAAACCTAAAAAGGACTGCATACAAAATTTTGCGAAATAATGACTTAATATTGGGACTTTCTGTGATTCTGTGTACTTTTTGGCAGAAAGTGAGTAGATTCACAGACTTTGCTATGCTTGTTCACCGGCTATCGTGTAACGTAGTGGTCAGAAATGCCAATATACATTGGATCGGTGGCTGGTTCGATCATTCGCCGCGCGCTCACCAAGCTTTCTTTCTCCACGGAATATTGGCAAATTAGTACATTTAACTGAGAGAATAAAACCACTGTCACACCCCTGAGAGATTGATGTTTGTTGGATATTTGAAGCAAAAGTAAACCCTCTGTCTGATAGAGATGGCGCACCGAGCTAGCGGGAGGTTAGTGCGGCACCTTCACCATTCCTTTTCATAGTTTAAAAAACACTCTCAAAACAAAATATAACTGCTATGTTGACCGACCACCTAACACAACACTTATGTAAGGAATACGTGATTTTCCCACAAATAGACGTGTGATTCAGCTTCAACTTGGAGAAAATAAAATTGAGTTGGTTTTAGAAACTACTCTTTCACGGCACTAGTNTTGAAGCAAAAGTAAACCCTCTGTCTGATAGAGATGGCGCATCGAGCTAGCGGGAGGTTAGTGCGGCACCTTCACCATTCCTTTTCATAGTTTAAAAAACACTCTCAAAACAAAATATAACTGCTATGTTGACCGACCACCTAACACAACATTTATGTAAGGAATACGTGATTTTCCCATAAATAGACGTGTGATTCAGCTTCAACTTGGAGAAAATAAAATTGAGTTGGTTTTAGAAACTACTCTTTCACGGCACTAGTCACCCGACAAATGCCAAATCGCTCGTCATGCGACAGCATTCCCATTACAGTACATCTTGCCAGTCATGTAAAAGAGACATAATGACATCTCTACCAAGTTGGTTCGGTCTCGGCTGAGATGATATGCTTCCAGTACAGTATGCTACGCCAGTCATAGCGGTACGATTTAAAAAGTTTGGTGGTGTGGTTCGCTCTGGAGCATATGGCTCCGCCTATGGCAGCGGCTAGGCTCAACCTCAACACAGTGTAGCAGAGAAGCCATCAGTCGTCCCATTCACTGAGTTCATCGGAATTTTATCGCCACAGAAAAACAAGAACTGAAAGAAAAGCGTTCATCTAGTGGTGTCTACTCCATCGGACCATTGTTATGGCCGACTGAGTCCGCGAATTCGCTCACTATCAGGCTCAGATGCACTTTCAAAGGGCACTGGAGATTATTTTCGTCGGTAAAAGAGCACCTTTACAAACCATCACCTCTTTCGAGGCGCGTGTGAGGTGAGAGGACCATCGAAACACAGTGGGTATGTGCACGGGGTTTTCATCCACTGCATGAATGATGATAGCAGTGGTGATGCGTATGCTACAGCAAGCACTCATAGATCACTTAAAGTCAGTACCTCCACATATCGCCTTTTATAGCCGTCCTATAGAAGCGCGCATCCTATTGCAAACTTCATTAAAGATGAGGACTACATTAAAACCTGCACAGTGCAGCGCCCCTGAGAAAGCAGGAAAAAACAAGCACAGCTTACAAAATGGTGCAATAATTCCTCTTGAAGTGATAGCCCTTGCTTTTTTTTTTTACTACTTTTAGCCATCCAGTGCGATTCTAACCTTCACTCAAGTTCCTTATACCAATTCTGCGGCTATTATGGGATAACAGTTCAGCATTTTTGTTAAGCCTTTAATAAAAAGAAAACAACTCATGATCCTTAACTTCATTCGATTTCCTCGTCGCTGCCGTTTCATTCGATCTTTACCGAACCCCGTAAGACCGTTAGCATTGGCCTGATGTAGTGCATTAATCACTTCCTCCATGTTGATATTTTCGGCAATGCCTATTAGTCCTTCTGTGAAGTCCACTGATGGCGTGACCTCGTCCAGAAGTTGTTCCAGAAACGGCGCCTCGGTCTTCACTTCACCCATACCTGTGAGTTTCGTGAATCATTTGATTGTGGTCCTTACTAAAAATTTGAACGCATGTAGATTTGTACGAGCTATCTAATCTTTTCCTTCCACCCTTGTTCTCTACTACATACAAATGCCGGATAAGCGAAATATTAAGTTAGTAAATTTTTAAAATAGACTACAAATACAGAAATGAAAACAGGGAAAAACATTTAACCCTATTATACTGAGTAATGGTTTTTGTATAACCCAAAAGAACGACTCTCTATAAACCTCGGCATAATAATCGATATATCTGCATGTATGTTCTTACGAATTGCCCTTTTTAGCCGGTATGAGGTTGGTCTAGATGTTCTCATTCTTGTTGTTTTTGTTGTTGTTCGATGGTTGATATATCGGTGACTTCGCATTCCTCAGAGCTTAGACGTGTGTAACTTACTTGATACTTGAATGGCCCGTCCTCACTAGTTGTGCAGGCGTCCCCAACATAATCTCTATTTTTCGGAAACTTGGTTAAACCAATGAGGTTTCCTGAAATCCCGAGGCTAGCCTGGCCAAAGTCTGCCCTGGGTTAGGTAGTCGCCGCCTTAGTGGATCAGAGGGAGATTTGCCACCATGCGACCTTGATGCCAGGACGGTGGTGGATCCTGGTATTGGCTTACTCTTAACTAGGCCTCCTGATGGAAACACCGGACTCCTTCTCTGCTTGGTAGACCTCCCGCTGTACATCACAGTTCGACACTCAGGAACACCTCCCGACACTACGAGGCGGTAAACCGTTGGGAGGACGTGTGTAACAGTACTCCACAATTCGATAAATTACATAATATTAATGAAGATCCCGCA